TAATAACATTAAGTCTAAAAAAAAGAACTTTCAAGAACACCTGATACATAAAATAAACTACCTTTCATTACCTACAGAACATAATGTTAAAATGGAAAAAAAATTCAAATATGTATCAAACATATAAAACTTAAATAAAATCAACCACTTGACTAATTAACTGAATATAAAACGACTCCTCGTCAGTAAATTCCTCGAAGTAAAAAAAAAATCTTTTCCATAGGCGACCACATGTAGGACTCCCTGAAACAAAAACACAACTCCTTATTTTAAAAAAAACTGTTCAGTTTTTCAAAAAACACAAAAGGACTTTAAAACACATTTAGTCTTTTTTAACTTCTGAATTTAGAATAAAAAAAACCTCAGCCGTTCATTTTAGACCCTGAAAAGCTCATTTTAAAAAAGAAAGTCCATTTGGAAAAAAATATGATTTTTTTTGTTTTTTTTGCATGTTATTGAAACAAAATGAATAAAAATCTTATTAGTGAAATGTAATAACTGTAATTACCGTAAAAAACCATAATAAATTCTGTAACTAAGCCTGCAATCCCAGGAGCAGCTGCAAAATGCACTCTGCTCTGTAATGCCATTTTGTTCATTCATTTTAGCAAGAGTTCAGCTGCAAAAATTCTACAGTGATTTGTTAAGAATAAGGAAATGCAACGTGTTATTCCTAAGCTTTATTTTCAGCAAAAATTGTTGTCACTTCTGTTTACCTCCATGATTCAGATTGTAATCAGAAAAATATATTGATATGTGAAAAATTTTATGCACTGCACTGCCTTGAACTGAATAAATCATGACTATGGCCGAGGGCTTAAGTTGCAAGACATCAGAGTTGTATAATATTTATTCAACTTCACTTGTTGCGTGTCTCAAAGGGAGAAATTATATTTAGCATCAAAATTGAGGAGTTGTTCTGCAAGTAAAAGAATCTAATTTCAGTTACTGATTTTTGTTTATAAAAAAAAAAACCACAATAAATTTGCTCGCCATTAGTTAGAGAAGCTGGAATCCCACACTGAAAGAAGGCCTCACTGCAAATCTTGGCCCTGACATTTTCACTCTTGTCTGTACAAAACATGTTGTGCTGTTTGTTTTGACCACTGGAGGAACATAATTCTGTTTAGGAGCGTGCCTGACTATTTCATATGATGTTTGTCGGTTTGTGGAAAACTTTATTTCGTTTAAGAACAATTTCCTTTCTCTCCCACTCTTTCCTACCCCCCCGCCCACCCGCCATCCCCAGTTTTCAGCTTCCCTCCTGCATCCTCCCTTGCATCTTTCTTCCTACCCCAGTCAGTCAGTAATCTACCCCTATCCCTCCCCAAACCCTTTCCCGGACTCGGCAGATGCTTCCTCACCCCCACTCTGAGCGGCAGGACCACACCATCCCCCAGATCAGCAGACACCTATAGTACTAGACCTGGCAGTAAGGACTCCTGACCAGACAGTTTCCCAGTCTTGACTATCTTCCCCCACTGCTCACTCATTTTCTTTCCTTTCTTATTCACTTACCTTATTCAGTGCTCATCCGGGTTTGGGTTGTTTCTCTCCCACGTTTGCTGCCTATTGGCTCATTACTGAACCTCTCGGCAGCGAGGGTAAAAGAGAACCTATCTGTAATTGGAGGAGCAGCTCTTTGCCAATTCTACTTACAGGGCAGTTGCTATAGTTGGTTGTGCTGTGAACATGTTTTCCCGCCTTTTTGAGGCTTTAGGGGTGAATGTGCGTAATGATCCAATGTACATTGAGCTGTGCTGTTTGTGCTTGTATAGATAAGCAGGGTCTGTACCAAAGCTTCTCTTACCAAACAAGCTGACATCTACAGATGAGGTACAATGCCAGTGTGCATTTGGTAGAAATCATATTCATGATTTTATGACCTTAATTGTCCATGTATACCATATCTGGTATGTATGTGCTATGTGGCTCTGCCTATGTATAAAATGTAACTTTGCATAAAGAAGTAATGGTATTTTATGGACTGGTGCGATAAACATAAATGTTACATGTGTACTTTGTTTTTAAGACAGTCACAGCCCTTCTTGGTCAGGAGATTTTACATCAAATTTGTTGAACAGTGGTTTAAAATGAAAGATGTTAATAATGTCAGCAGTAAGAGTGGAAAAATCTCCTTGTGTAACATTTAGGATGCACACCATTTTGCTAGAATATCTATTTCCTTAATTGCTATGACTGAAGTTTAATCTGCCTCCTGTGATTTAATTTGTATGTGCAGCATAATTGAACACACAAGTGCATAAACAACTTATTTGCATAACATATCAGTCTTCGGATTTATTCCCACCCACCACTAATTTTATCTCCCTTCAGTCTCCAGATCCAGCTGATCCTAATCCAAATCCCTACTGATTTGACAGACAAAACAAAAGAATAACAATTTCGTAGGCCAAAAGAACAGAGTTAAATAACTAAAAACCAACATCTGTCTGTATTTCAACATAATGTGCAGTGCTACGATCTTCTGGACATTGAGAAATGTTTTTCCAAAGTTGTGCAATGGAAAGCTGTTTCAACTTCAATATAGTTTCATGTTTTTCAAAACATTTTTTTTACTTTTCTAAATTGTAAATGCGAAACTTATTTAAAGTGAAATGGACCGCATAATGTAAGCAAAATATTTGCCTGAAATATTTTCTGCTTTCAAAAGGGGACATGGGTATTTAATTTTGGTACTTTGAATTAGGTTGAGGTTTGTGACTGGATGTGAGTGAATTCTGGGCTAGGAAGATGCTGGATAAATAGACCATTCTAACACGAAAGGGAACCTGGGGGCTGTGCATCATTCAAGCAGCAAGGTGTCAAAGTAAATGCTGTTACTTTGTGTTTTACGTTCTTAACAGCGTTATGTGAAGCAAGTGAAAGGGCTTACAGACCACATGAGACGTGTCCTCTCAAAGAACAGTCAAACAACAAATGCAACCAAGTCTTTCAAGAATGTCAAAGCCAAAGACTTGTGGAGAAATTTCAAATTTTCAAAAACAGGCTTGGTGGGCTTTTTAAAACTTGTGTTTATTGAGCAGGAACCACTTCTTTATTTAAAAAAGTATTTTGTGTAATTAATAGGAAAAAGCTTTTCGTTTATCTTTTGAAAATTGGAATGCCTTCTGTGGATTGCCAGTCAAGTTTCCAATTCACCTTCTAACCACCAAGCAATTACTTGAGCAAAAAGTTTTCAAATCAGCTCTACTAGTTATATATCCAGTAATAGGTTTACATTGTAATCTAACAGGATCTTTTTCCCTGGAAATTAGCTGTAAACCATCAATGAAATATTCTGTGATTCTATCACAATCATTTACACTGTTGTGGACATCACCATTTACCAGCTGCAAAGAGTTTGTGTTATCTGTCAAAGTTGATAAATAACAAAACTACTTATCAAGTGAATTTATGTTACCCCAACATTATATATGCTGGATAACTACTTTCAAATCAGATATAATAAAGTCTTGTATTTAGAAAATGTGCTTTGTGATCACTGTGTGCCTTGAAGTGCTTTTGAAGCACAGCCATTGTTGTCCTGCTCTTTTAGTATCTTCTACATCCACCTGAAGGGCAGATATAACATTGGTTTAACTACTTATCCAAAATACAGTACCTCTGACAGTGTAGCGCTCCCTCAGTATTGTACTGGAATGTCGACAATTTTGGACTCAATTTCTCAAGTGAGACTTCAACCGGGAAATTGTGACTCCTAGATGAGAGTATTAGCGACTGAGGTGCAGCTATTGTGTAATTAGCAAGACAATCATTGTTTGTGATATTTCAATGTCTAACCATTATTGTCTTGAAGCTCTTTGTTATCTACATAAATGCACGTTTTCAAAGAATTAAAATTTCTGTCCTTTAGTGGGAAACTTGCTGAAGGTATTTGGTTATTGATCTGTCAGAATGGTTGCAGATATGTTTCTTGACATCATGATAATTGACTACCCTTCAATAAGAATTTCATTTACAGTAAAGCATTTTGGGAGATTTCAGTGTTGCTAAGTAGCTAGCTTGCATTGTGTATAAACTGGACCAAAGAACACCAGAAACATCTGACGCAGAGAATATGGGAAACATCGGAGGCATTTCAGAGGAGAGGAGAAAATGTATGAATAGGTAAAAGATTGACAGTTAGCAACGGAACTAGAACATAGGTGATCAAAAGCTTTATTGAAAAATAAAACCTTCAGAAGGTGGGACTAGAAGACAAGATACGTCTGGTGAGGGAGTATCCGCGAATAGCTGAAGAATAGGGAAGGGAGCCGATACTCAGAAGAACAGACTGGGGAGAGGATACAAGATTTCTGAAGGTTACAGAGAAAGACTGCAATAAGTTCTTGGAGGGATTTGAGGATGTTAACTCCAATGCTTCGGAGTCCAAGGAACCATTGTTGGTGAACAAAGTAATGAACGTTGGGCAAGTGGCATGGAATTTGCATGGTCATTGTGAAGAGCATGATTTAATTTGAACCCAGACATACAGAAAGCAGAGTGCTTCAGCACTGGATAGCACCAGAGGCAGTTGAAAGAGTGGAGGTCTGCAGTTTAGATGATAGGATGTTGTTTGAAACTTAGCTTAGGATGCCATGGTTTTGCTTTCTCGTGTCAATCTTGAGAAAATGGCCAGAAAAGAGAGTGCAGTCAGCAACACTAATACAGTTTGTAATGGGGATCAAAAACAATTGAAGGACATTATGACTCATCAAGCAGACTCATAGAATGGACCTGGCAGTAGGGTTAGCTGGTTGTGTCATTTTCAGGGATGAGGATTTATTTTCAAATTGTTGTTGTCTTGTCTTCTTTGTAAATGTTTGGAATCAAATGAAAATTAACATCTAAAAAGTGATGATTTTTATTCTAAGAATCCAGATATAAACCCGTTTAACACTAATTAGCCTGAAAACGTGGATTTATTTTATAATTAGAAGTGGTACTGAAAGGGTTGTATCAGTGTTTTAATTTATTTTTTCAAACCTACTTCCCAGCAGACATATGGAGTGATCAATCATTTCAGACTGATCCTGATCTTCCACCAGGATGGAAGAAGATCAATGATGTGGCTGGCATCTATTATTGGCATATACCAACAGGCACCACCCAATGGGAGCGGCCAGTAGCTGCATCAACTGAGGCTTCAGACACACAGAAAGAATCATTGAGTTCCATTACTCCTTCTCCAACTCCAGAAAATGAGGTAACACCTTTTGGATGCTTCAACTTCTGATTTTTGTGAGCATTTTGTTTTGCTATCCTATCCAAAATCAACCGAGCGTGCAGTCAAAGGGTAAGGCATTTGTATTTTGTTCTCATTATCTTTCTGTCCATCTGCCACCATTTCTGCACATCGCACATGCTGACTCTGGTTGAAAGGGTGACTTGTTTTCTGAACTTTGTCTTTGCAATAATTGGCCAAGAGATGACTGCAGTTTTTCTGCTTCCCTACTGAGGTGTTGTTTGAGTTTTTTAAAAAACAAAAATGTAAACTTATACTTGACCAATTAAGATAGCTCAATCGCAGTTCAAAAAGGATGCCATGAAATTTACAGTTTGTGCTCAATTAGATTTTAGGTTTTTGGCCAATATAGGTGAACATGTTTCAATCTGTTGTTTGGATATTTTCTCTGAGAATCGTTAACATTAATGTAGATTAATGACATATTAATGTATCTTCTGCTACTTGGCTTGGCTTTTACAGACTTGATATGTTCAAAATACCATTAGAACTTTGTTCACAGCTGCTACATGTTGTGCGTCTCACGCTTGGAGGTTATATAAATCAGTCTATACATTGATCTTGTACACGAGTAAATCATTTTAAACATGCTTATCTATAGTACTCTTATCCTTATCTGTCCTACACCTCTCTGATAAAGCCTCATGTGTTCAATATGGTCTTTTACCTCCGCTTTTACTACTAGATGAGTTCTAAAATCTTTTATGTAAAGAGATTTCTTTTGCTCACAATAATCGCTTATTGACTTACATTTTCAGAATAAATTGGGATGGGGCAACATAGGGGTAGATTTTATGGGCCACCTGCAGTGGGCAAACAGGCAGCTGGGTTCATAAAACAGGGCACTGGGAAATGTGGCAGCTTGCCCAGCCCTACCCTTACCAGCAGTAAGGGGAAGCATTGTCTGAGCCAAGTGTCCACCCATCGACTAGATTCAGGCCCCTACACGACCAATAAGTGGCTACTTAAAACTGCCTCTTGCTGCTGCCATAATTTAAAGGGTTATGGGAGGGGCCTGCACCAATGTGCACCATAGCTGATTTGAATCTTGAGCCCATTGGACAGAGAAAGGAGAAGTGCACTGTTCAAAGTGTAAATAAAGGTCCGGATACCAGCCACTTGTGAGGTAGATAGCTGCTGCCAATTCTCCTCCTGTGCTTATCTAGGGGTTTTCTAGCAGTCTGCTGCAAACAATGAAAGAATGTAAGAAAATAACTATTTCAGTTATCATGGGGGACTTCAATATGCATCGATCGGGAAAATCAGGTTGGTAATGGGTCTCCAGGAAGCAGGCGATTCTGGATTTGGTGATGTGTAGTGAAGTACATTTGATTAGGGAGCTTCAGCTGAAGGAACCCCTAGGGGGCAGTGATCATAATATCATAGAATTCACCCTGTAGTTTGAGAGGGAGAAGCTGGAATCAGATGTAACAGTATTGCAATTGAGTAAAGGTATCTACATAGACATGAGGGAGGAGCTGGCCAGAGTTGATTGGAAAGGGAACCTAGCAGGGAAGATGATGGAGCAGCAATGACAGGAGTTTCTGGGGGTAATTTGGGAGGCACAGCAGAAATTCATCCCAAGGAAGAAGAAACAGGGGAGAATGAGGCAATCCTGGCTAACAAGGGAAGTCAGAGACAGTATAAAAGCAAAAGTAAAAGCATACAATGTGGTGAAGATTAGTGGGAAGCCAGAAGATTGGCAAGCCTTTATAAACCAGCAGAGGCTAACTAATAAAGCAATAAGGGGGGGAGAAGATGAAATTGAGAGTAAGTTAGCTAGTAATATAAAAGAAGATCTTTTCTGACCCTCCTTGATTTAATCTCAACTCAATGATATCTTCCTCATTGATCCCATGGATATGTATCAAAAAGATTAGAGCTGCGTGGAAAGGTGGTTTTCAGGACTGGCTTTCAGTCAGACAGCATCTGAGGAGCCAGAAAGTCAACATTTCAGGCTGAAACCGTTTGTCAGGACTTTGTCAGGCGTGAAACATTGACTTTCCTGCTCTTCAGATGCTGTCTGACTTGCTGTGCTTTTCCAGCCTCTCACCTATAGACTCTGGCTTCCAGCATCTGCACCCCTTATTGTCTCCAAGTCTCTGGGTTTCAGTCATATAGGGTATGCTATCTTGTCAGAATTTCTTGCTGCAGTGGTGTTCAGGGCAACATTATTATGCTATGGAAATTTCAGGATAAAGGCACCACATGGAAAGCAGTTCTTTGCAAATGCGACGAGAATTCATGAAGTATGTTCCAATGCTGCTACTATATTAGGCTTGGCTTCAGTTGAGTGCCTGGAGATTTCACTTTGGGTAAAAAAATTCACTGCTACCAGGTTTCAAGGTGGGGCATAGGTGTTGACCTAGCCAACATCACCCACATCCAATGAACAAATTAAAAAAAAAAATTAAATTAATATTTGAATACCCATCACTGATCATCTTATCTAATAAGATATACTGCCTCATCGACTCTAAGACACATTGCTGCAGAAAACTATCCTGCAGACACTCAAGAATTCACCACCTTTGCATCACGTACTTGTTGGCTATCCCAATATATATGGAAATTTAAATCGACTACTGAAGCACTCTGCATTTGCTTGCTTGCCTAATTTTATATTTATATAGCCTGCCACATCATAAATGCTTTTGAGGGCCTATGCATAACTTTTGCTAGAGCCTTGAATCTTCATAATGTCCCTGCTACTTGTTCTGAATCTGTGGTTCTAGCCAATTCCAGCGATGTTTAATGCTGGACTGCATAGCACAATAATGTCAAGAATAATAATAGCACAATATTTGAGTGCTGCCTATATTACGTTAAATGTGTGTAATTGTACATTGTTACCCCTGTGCCTGTTATTAAACCTTAATTAATTTTATCCCAATAAATGGCATGCCATTAGCTTGCTGGCAAACATTTCTCCTTCAACCAATACCATAAAAACCGACTAACCAGTAATTCACATCATTGCTGTTTGTTGGATCTTGCTGTCTGCAGCAGAGGTGACACATCTGTCTGTTTAACCCCATTGGTACCACATCTTCCTTATAACCCATTACTAACACATCTTCCTTATAACCTCAGCCTGTGTAATGGCAGGGCTGCTCTTTGTGTGAAGCATTGTAAGATATTTCTAAGAGATATGATAGGGTGTAAGTACAAGTTTTTTTTTTCCCTTTTATTGCTTGTATTTGTCACTGTACACATGTTTGGTTCAGGGTTGTTTGTGAGATTGAAACATGATAAATCGTTAACCAATTCAACTTTAAAAATAGTAGTTTGTAGTAGAATTGTTCTTGTAGCTTTTAGAAGCTGACCCACTAACTGCTTTATTGTACTAACATTGTCCTTTTTCTGTTTTTGTGCATATGTATTTCTTCCGTCTGTGATTAATGTCTGTCTAGAAACCATGGACTGATTTTGCTGTGCTGAATGGTGGAAAGATTAATAGTGACATTTGGAAGGCAAGTATTTTGTGAATAGTAATGAGAGAGTCTATTTTTAACAAAGATTGATTTTAATTCTAATAAAGTTTAATTTCTAAAATGGAGTTAAGCATATGTTCCACTCAACAGATAAAAATCATATGACACAGCACTGAAGTGTAGACCTGATAAAAATACTTCTCCAAAGGTGGAATTTGAAAATTTTCAAACTTTCACGTGATTAAGTGCATGGAGATGAAATCTTCTAATTTATGTCATGCAGTTCTCTTGGCTCACTAACTAATTCTGCATTTGCTCCGATGACAGTTGGCACCTTGCCATGCCTTGAACGGGCAAACCAGTTACTACAAATATTAGTGTTTTGTGACTTGCTCAAAGGCGTTTCACAGTCGGGATTAGAAGAATAGCACCATGTTAAATTCAAAAAAGTTTAACCTGTTCTTTTTCATGGATGTGTGCTGTGACAAATATTTCAAATAAAAATGACTTGATGCCAAAGTGTTATTCCCCATCTGGGATTTGAAATAAATTGACGTGCTTTGTGTGTGTGTGTGTGTGTGTGTGTGTGTGTGTCACTGTCCCTCAGGGTCCACTTTAAATTCAGCACTGAGATTAAAGCTCGAGAAGAAATGAGAAAATCTGTTCATGAGACAATATAAAACAAATATGAAGTAATTTTTACAGCTAACTGACTTGTACTGAGCTCCTAAGTTGCCAAAATAATTAACATAATTTTAGGCCTTGTTATGTTAACTTCAAAACTAAATATTGTTGATGAATGTTCAAACTAATTGAGTTAATGATTAGCAGTATGGTGTGGATTCTCTTTGTAGTTTCAGAATTCTACTCGATTTGTTTCACCTGAGCTATAATTGGCCAAGATAAATGTGTCCATTATAGACGGGAAAGTTTATAATGCAAATAGAGAAATAGCTGAGTAGCTAAACGTATCTGTCTTTGCTGTGGAAGGATTTGGAGATCCAAATGACTAGAGAGAATGAGGAATTGAAGGAAATCAGTATGAATAAGAAGATTGTGTTGTAAAAGCTAATAGGACTTATCATTCTTATGTTAATAGGCTATGAACAGTAGGGTACAACAAGGATCAATACTTGGGGCTATAAATCACTCAGACGTAGTAAGAACTGCAGATATTGGAGTCAAAGACAATACGGTGTGGAGCTGGAGTCCCGACCCAAAACATCAACTTACCTGCTCCCCTGATGCTGCTTGCTGTGTTCCTGCAGCTCCACACTGTATTGCCAATACTTGGGATTCCACCTGTTCACAATATATAACTCTCATTTAAATGTTGGCACCAAGTATATTATTTCTAAGTTTGCAGATGACATAAAGCTTAGGTGCATGTGTGTGCTGTGAGGAAGGTGCAAAGTGGCTTCGAATGGATTTGGACAGACTTGATGATTGACAAGAACATGGCAGCTGGAATATAAAGTGGAAAAATGTGAGATTATTCACTTCTCAAGAAAAACAGATGTGCAGAATATTTCTTAAGCGATAAGAGATCAGAAATATTTAGGAAGTGTAGATGTTACAAAGGAACATGGATGTCCTTGCCACAAAATCACTGAAGGCTAATATACAGGTGCAGTAGGCAGTTAAGAAGACTAACAATTTGTTGACTTTTAATGGAAGAGGATTTGAGTACAGCAGTAGTGAAGTTTTACTTACATTGTATTGGAGCTTGGTTAGATCACACTTGGAGTACTGTGAGCAGTTTTGGTGTCCTTGCCTGAGGAAGGATAAGATTACCATAGAGGGAGTGCATCACAGGTTCACCAGGCTTGATCATGGGTTGGGACGACTGATCAATGAAGAGAGATTGGGCAAACTGGGCCTCTATTCTCTAGAGATAGTAAGAAATGCAGATGCTGGAGTCAGAGATAACACAGTGTGAAGCTGGAGGAACATAGCAGGCCAGACAGCATCAGAGGAACAGGAAAGTTGATGCTTCGGGTCGGGATCCTTCTTCAGAAATGGGCTGAAGAAGGGTCCCAACCCGAAATGTCAATTTTCCTGCTCCTCCAATGCTGCCTGGCCTGCTGGGTTCCTCCAGCTCCACACTCTATTCTCTAGAGTTTTGGTCTCATAGGAACCTACAAAATACTTAAAGGAATAGACAGGGTAGATGCAGGTAAGATTGTTCCCCTGGTTACATAACATAAGCAATAGGAGCAGGAGTATGCCGTCTGTCCCGTTGAGCCTGCTCCACCTTTCAGTAAGGTCATGGTTGATCTTTTTGTGGACTCCAATTTACCTGCCAACTCACCATAACCCCTAATTCCTTTACTGTTCAACAACTATCTATCTTTGTCTTAAACACATTCAGCAAGGTAGCCTCAACTGCTTCACTGGGCAGGGAATTCCACACATTCATAACCCTGTGGGAGAAGAAGTTCCTCCTCAACTCAGTCCTAAATCTGCTTCCCCCTTATTTTGAGGCTGTGCTCCCTAGTTCTTGTTTAACCCACCAGTGGAACCAACCTTCCTGCTTCTATCTTATCTATTCCCCTCATAATTTTATATGTTTCTATAAGATCCCCCCGCATTCTTCTAAATTCCAATGAGTACAGTCCCAGTCTACTTAATGTCTCCTCATAAGCCAAACCTGTCAACTCTGGAATCAACCTAGTGAATCTCTTCTGCACCCTCTCCAATGCCAGTATATCCTTTCCCTGGTAAGGAGACCCAAACTGTACACAGTGTACTCCAGGTGCGGCCTCACCAGCTTCCTACACAGCTGCAGCATGATCTCCCTGTTTTAAAACTCCATTCCTCTAGCAATGAAGGACAATATTCTGTTTGCCTTCTTAATTACCTGCTGCACCTGCAAACCAACTTTTTGAGATTCATGCACAAGGACACCCAGGTTCCTCTGCACAGCAGCTTACTGCAATTTTTCACCATTTAAATAATAGTCTATTTTGCTGTTATTCCTACTGAAATGAATGAGACCCTACAACCAGGGGACATAATTTCAAAGCAAAGGGGTAAACCACACAGTACTGAGATGAGATTTATTTTGGTTTACTCAATGTTGTGAATCTCTGGAACTCTCTCCTGCAGAAGGCTCAGTTATTGAATATATTTATAGTTGAGATTAACAGCCTTCCAAATACCAGTGATGCATAGGAATATGGCAATTGTGATAAAATGAAGCTGAACTGAATGATCAATCATGGTTGTATTGAATGGCAGAGCAAGTTCGATGGGCTCAATGGCTCACTCCTTGTTCCTAGGAGTTAGTGGGGATACGCTTAAATTTTACAGCATTTACAATGCTGATTTCTAGTTACTCAAGTTTCTGTCCATTAAAGCATGGACAAAATACAAAGGTCAGTGCCATATGTACATTTTATACTTCCTTTCATCTTTGAGGAGATGAGTTTTATACCAATCACAAGTGGTTTAGATAGGACATGATTAATTTCCTAAAGCCGCTCTTGTTTAGTCCAGTCCACAGGAAGAAATAACATCTATGGTCAGTTATCTATTGGCACTGTATCTGATTTTATATATTTCGGAGAAATAGACTATTTCACCTCCAAATTAGGTAGGATATAAAACACAGGAGCAGGCCATTTGACCCAACCTGTCCATGCTGAAGTTTATGCTCCACTCAAGCCAACTCCTGTCTCTTCTAAATCTATCATTGTAACCATCTATTCCTTTTGCCCTCATTTGATTGTCTAAGTTCCCCCTAAATCTATACTATTCAACTGCCCGCTTGATTGGTACTCCATTCGCCACCTTCAATTTTCACTCCCACCACCAACATTGCACAGTGGCAAAGTATGGACCATTTCAACATGCACTATAGTAATTCACGAAGGCTTCTTTGACATCATCTTCCAAATCTATGATGTCTAGCACCTGGAAGGGCAGCAGAGGCAGAGAAAGATCACCATTTACAGGCTCCCCTCCAAGCCACTCATCATCGTGACTTAGAAATATGACAGCATTCCTTCACGAGGTCAAAATCTTGGGATCCCTTGCAAGCAGCACTATCGGTGTACCTACATCGCAAGAGCTGCCTTGGTTCAAGGTACTAGCTCAACAGCGCCTCTCCAGGGCAATTGGGATTGAGGAGTAAGTGCTGGCCCAACCAGTGATGCCTGCATCCTATCAAGAATAAAAATAGATGATTGTCTTATATTCATGGCCTCTAATTGTATCCTTCCCCACAAGTGAAAATATTTTCTTTCTATCCACGTTTCAAAACTTTATAATTCCTCTGTTAGGTCACCCATCATCCTTTTAAAGAGAAGAAACTAAGCTTTTCAAGCCCCTCCAGATATATTTCCACATTTCTGGTGGTATCCTAGAAATACTAGGAGCTTTGCCCTTTGAATTTGTTTAATTTATTCAATATATCTGCTCTTATTGTAATGCACTTATCTCATTTATCATGTCATCATTCAACGTCATATCTACCTGTCTATCTCCCTGGCAAATACTAAAGTGAAATAATCGTTTAGCATTTATGTCTTCCCTCTGTCTTTGTCTGCTAGTACTGTGTTTGTCCCTTTAATGGTCCTATTCCCATCGGAGCCTTCATTTTTTATTGATATGACTTTAAAATGTCTTACTGTTTTGAATTATATTCCTGGATAATTTAATCTGATAGTTCTTTGCCTTCCTAATTGTTTTTTTGGCTTCTTTTCTCATCTCTTCATTTTCTTTCTTTACCCTGCACTCCTCTTCTCCCTCAACAGTTGAGCATTAATCTTTACACTGGTGTACTTGGTCTGGACAAGGCACAATATCTGTCACAGCAGGATGAACTGACAACAAGCTGTGGAAAAATACCCCAGTTGCATCAGTGTGAATTCTTACATTCACCAGCCTTGGGGACTCCCTTTGTGAGATATGCCAATTAATGCTATAGTTGTAAGCAGCCTTAGAACTTTGTAAATTCATGACCACCAGAGGCTGGTTTAGTTCGGTCGATTCTCAATTTAGAGCTCTTTGATGATTCTGTCTATTTTTCTTTGAAAACCACATAATGAAGTAAAGCCTTTTCACTCTGAGCTGGGAACTTGTCAGTGTGTAGCACAGTGTGTCATTGGACTACCCTTTCATACTGCAATTCAGATTGTAATCCAATTCAGATTCCTGTTACACTTGAAGTCACCTATCATTATTGATTAACAAAGCAGAAAAGATGAGGATCTATATGTGCCCAGTGACCATGAGTCAATAGCATAAAACTAACAACTATTTGGCACTAAATTAATCGTCTCATTTAGAGAGGTCAGAAAGATAGTTGATGTGGAAAGTTGAAAAGAAAACTCCTAGTTCATTTGGAGATGCCTTTCTGAAGGTTTTCCTATTCGATATGTGCTGCACTTGATGTTCTTGTTGATGACCTTGAAATGCCATAGTTGTGAAAAGGGTTCCGTTCCGATGCGAGTAACTTTGTTCTTGGCGTGTGTATAACTAACCCTAAAATATTAAAAATGCGGTAATGCTTTTCAAATGGCTCAGGATTGTATTGGAATTTTCCTAAAATTAAGAGGGAGTTCTCTTTTCATAGGATCTCCACGCTGCCACTGTAAATCCAGATCCAAGTCTGAAAGAGTTTGAGGGAGCAACTCTACGCTATGCTTCTCTAAAACTGAGGTAAGGGATAATGTTTAAAAAGTATTGATCCAATGAAATTTGCAGTGTAGTAGTATCTTTTTACATTGTTTTCTGTTTAAGTATTGATACTTTCAATTGCCTTCATAGAACAGTACCACAGGCTGAGGAAGATGGTTCCTGTACAATCAACAGTGACCCAGAGGCAAAGGTCAGTGGTATTGGTTTACATCCATTTCTTTACACATTATGATGTCAAACTTTGTGTGCATGATTCAATTACATTTCAGTATTCAAAAATAAATGAAGCTGTAACCACAATGATTACAAAATATCTTATTCTTTGATCTTCTTATGAAAAGAACAACTGTTGCGTATTTGAAACTGTACCATTGCACTGTTTAGGGATTTCTGTTATTTTCTGCTGATGTGCGCAACCCCATGTAGCTATTCTTTATCTGCTAATGCTTTAATATGCCCAGCATGGGAATACCATCTCTAATTTCTTTCAACATATCTAAAAGTTTAGTGATGCAAAACTACGGTTTTACAAAGGGATTTTCCTTGGATCTCAAGACTGAACCCAATTCAATATATTATCAGGAAATGTCCACTTAATCTCCTTTGATATCAGTGCAAGTATTAAGAGCTGATATTCAAAATATTAATTTTTGTCATTTAGACATTTCATGCTGACTTGGACCTGGTGCTATCTGTAGCAATTTCTAAATGTGATTTTGTATTCAAGCAAGCATTCCAGAGTTAATGAAGCATGTGACTTTAAGTAGTAGATGTTCTCCATTGATATCTTGTGGATAAATATCTTCATGTCTACCCCTCTAAGATTTTCAAGTGAAAAACTTTTCAAAGAAGATGCACTGCATGACGAACCTTTATGCATTCTGAAGATGAATTTTTGAAGAATTGTTTTGTTGCACATTAAATGTACCATAACGTGTAAAGAAATAGCTTTGCCTCATTGCTTTGATTAGTTGTTTTTTTCTGCCTCTAAAATTGCTTTTGAAGATAGTGGCACTGGTTAGCAGTTGTCTTTCCAAACACAATAAGTGTTATTTCATTTCTTACTGGCAACGCAGTTCTGAGATTTTCCACTCGTTATTTGGCATGAACCAGCATAGGAAGCTTCCAATACTATGGCAGAGGTTACCTTTATCTGCACTTTTATTTGAAAGAGATTTTGTTTGAATAAACCCATCGTTTAGCTTTGAGGGGAGATGCTTAACCTCCACATGATACCTCAGTTTGCTTGATTTTGTGATATTCTGAGAAACAACAACACATTGTGGAACTGATATTGTGAATCTGAGTTTAAAGGATCATTTTATTTTTGCCTGGCTTAACCTATTCTTTAGAACTGCACTCCTTCACCTAGATCCTGGCAGACTAACCTACTCTTAAGTATTTGGAGATATTATAGATGCTTTACCTTTCAAAGACCATATCCAGTTCTGAGGAAGGACCCAAAACGTTAACACTGATTCCTCTTCACAGATGCTGCCAAACCTGTGATTTTCCAGCAATTTCTGTTTTTGTTTAAAATTTCCAGTATCCAACTTTTAACCATTCTTTGTCAGGATCAATATTGTTATGCTCTCCATAGAGATCAATAAATTTTTGAAAAATAAATTTGAACTTCCAGTTAATATCTAAAAGTGTGAGCTGGCAAGATTTCACGTTTCATGACTTTTATTGTAAAAGAAAAGACTAAAAGTAGTCTCAATGAAACACTATCTTTATAGTTTACTCCTTTTGACTTTGGCCTTTTTAATTCAAGCACAAGTTCCCACACACATTCCTCCTTGGTGAACCATTGTGTCTTTCTGTCCATAGCTGCACGCCTTCACTTAGATCCTAAAAAAACTTACCTTGTCTTACATTTTTGGGGATGTTTATAGATCCTTTACCTTTCAAAGACCATATCCATGATAATGTGAATGATTAATTGATTAATTGTTGTCCCGTACCGAGATACAGTGAATAATGTTGTTTTGTGTGCTATACAAGCAGATCACACCGTACAAACTGCATCAGGGTAGCAGAACAAAGTGCAGAGTACAGTGTTACAGCTGCAGAGCAGATAGAGAGACAGATCAGAATTAACGTTTGAGAGGTCCATTCAAAAACCTTGATGACAGTGTGGTAGAAGCTGTTCTTGAATCTGTTTGTATGTGTATTCAAACTTCTATATCTTCTGCCCGGTGGAAGAGAGTATAACCGGGATGGGGAGGGGTCTTTGGTTGCTTTACTGAGGCATTGCGAAATATAGATGGAGTCAATAGATAGAAGGCTGGTTTGCATGATCGACTGACCTTTGTTCGCAACTCTCTGTAGTTTCTTTGTGGTCTTGGGAAGAGCAGTTGCCATACTATAGTGTGATGCATCCAAATAGGATGCTTTATAAATGGTGCATCTATCTGGTAAGAGTCCTTGTGGACATGCCAAATTTCCTTAGCCTCCTGAGGAGGTAGAGACATTGTTGTGCTTTCTTGACTGTTGCATTGATATGGGTGGAGCAAGATAGATTGTTGGTGATCATCACTTCCAGGAACTTGATGCTCTCGACCATCTCTTGACCATGGAGGTGATGTTGCAGCCTGTTGTTACTGATTGCAGTCAATGGGTCAGGAAGTCAAGGATCCGGTTGCAGAGGGGGGACCCAGGACCAAGATCTTGGAGTTTAGGGATGCGTTTGTTGGAATTATGGTATTGAAGGCGGTTCTTGTATCCAAGTAGAAATGACAATCAGCTATATTGGAGACTCCAATGCTCTTTTATCTTATACTTTAAATTGTCCATTTAATTTCAACTGTTTACAACCCGATATTGTCAACACTTCTCTCTGGAATGTTGGAGTCTCTTAATCTCAATGGTTAATCGACAAGCTGCTGCCATTATCTCCAAGTGTAAATGCCTTGCACCATTTTTCCAGTCAAACAGTCTGGTCCTTTCTTATTCTACGACACGCAAACCCTCAGGTTTGCTGTCAGATTTCAGAACAGGTCACATGACCCCTTTTCATTCTACCTCAAAACATACAGCCCAAAACATACAATTATGAGATAAAAATGGAATGTGCTGGAGAAACTCGGGTCTGGCTTCGTCATTGGTGAAAGAAACAATGTTTCAAGTCTAGTATGACTCTTCAGAACTGAAGGGGGCTGGAAAAATGCTGGGTTTTATCTTGTTGAAAATGGGGAGGAAGAACAAGTGGAACACATGGGAAGAGTTCTCAGAGCAAAAGGCAAAGGGATTGCTAATGGTAGTAGAGAAATATGCAGTACTATTAACAAGATCATCAAATTAATAGCTCAGGATGCTTGCATTTTTCCACAGTTATCAAGGATGAAGTGTCATGCTCACATGGCTGACATAGCATGAGCATCTTGATATTTGATGTTTTTGACTATGTATGGAACAAAGCTGATCTGGTGCTAGCCAAAAAAAACAACTGCAGACGCTGAAAATCAGAAACAAAAGCAGAAATTGCTGGAAAAGCTCAGCAGGTCTAGCAGCATCTGTGGAGAGAAATCAGAGTTAGCATTTTGGGTCAAGTGACTTATTTCCTCACGTTTTGAGGAAGTGTCACTTGACCCGAAGCATTAACTCTGATTTCTCCACAGATGCTGCCAGCCCTGACACTAGAAAACCTGATTGAGAAATTGGGCTTATCATGACTTCTCCCCAGTCCACCTCAACCTTGCAATTTGGTGGGTATTACAGTTCAGGGTGTCTTCAGGCTTTCCAGGAATTCCACCATGTAACAGATCTGATGAGCCTCCAAGGGGCAGTATTATTTCTAACGAGAACTGCGCACCCATTATGCCGTTTGCCTTGGAATTCCAGCTTTTTAACCAAGCATTATTGATGGTTGGCAATATAATTTCAAGTGAGGATGCTGTGTCATTTGGCAGGGAACTTGCAGCTGATAATATTCCCTTATGTCAGCTGCATTGTCCTTCTAGGTGGTAGAGGTCATGAGCTCAAAGAAGAGTTTTGAACTTATCAAGTTGCTGCAGTTATATATGGTACATACTGTTGGCACTGTGCAATAGTGATAGATTGAGTGAATGTTTAATTTGGGCAGAGGAGTGAATGGTTAGTCAGAAGTGATATTCCAGATCAGATGTAGAGAAGGATAGGATTCAGAACCTGCAAATAGAGTTTCACAATTCATAGCAAGATTTTTGCTTTATGCTCCCTTCCCTTCAATTTAACATTCAATGATTTTATCTGGCTAACTGAAAATCATGTGAACTGCCAGGTACCAAGCAGAAGTGATTATGTCTTGGATATTAAAGAGCTTCCATACAAACTTAAGATGTCTACTTTCTTTTTAAACATAAACCACTAGATTTCCACTGACTTTGCCAAAAGACATTGATTTTAGCCACAAACTTTGTTCCCTAGCCACTAACTTCATCCCTCTCCCTGGCAACCATCTGAGGCTGAACCAGACTACAGGTAGTTCTGCTATAACATGTGTTTTGTTAATTGAATTGGCTGTAACATAGTTGATGAATAGTGGACGCTGTTTGGATAATACGAACTTTCTGCTGTACAGGTGTAGTGATTTCCCTACAATGTGATTTTCTGTAGCACGAGGTTATGCAAGAACGCAACTGTCACGTTAAAGGAGAACTCTCTGTCTTCAAAATCTAGTGTTAAATTTGACTTTCGAGATGAGCTTCCAACCACAGATCTGCTCTGCATAAAACTAAAAGAAAGGGCTTTAAAAAATGCAAAAAACAGTACAGGTCCTGCTGAATGGGAAAGATACAAAGACCAACAAAGGACCACAAAAAAAAGGTATTATGAAAGGAAACTTGCAAGGGCATCAAAATCAATAAGAAGCAATTTTATAGTTACATGAAAGGAAAACTGGTGGTCAGATGCAATGTTAGTCTGTGAAAGATGGGAAGTGGGCATATTGTTAATGACCATGGGGTAATGGCAGACATGTTGAATAATTACTTTGCCTCAGTATTCACAGCTAAAGAGGGAGATTAGCTTGCTGGAAGTCCTGAGGAAATTAATATTGGATTGAGGACAGGGACTGAACAAAATTAACCTAAGTAAAATATCGACAATGAAGAAATTAATGGAATTAAAGAGTGAAAAATATCCAGAACCTGACAATTTCCATCTAAGTTGGTAAAGGAAGTGGGGAGCACAGTATATATACCCTAACTA